AACGGGTGCATCCCCCATAGCCTAACTATGGGTTTGTTATGGTGGTTATAGAAGTCGTTAAATGATAAAACAATTCATCGGGCGCACCCACCATAATTTAGATATAAAAAAAAACATGATAGTTATATAAGTTGTTACATGATAAAGAAATTCAACGGGTGCATCCCCCATAGCCTAACTATGGGTTTGTTATGGTGGTTATAGAAGTCGTTAAATGATAAAGCAATTCATCGGGCGCATCCGTGGACTAATGAAGCGTGTTTTCTACGATGCTTGAAATAAACCATCTTAATTTCAACCAGTGCAGACTGCCATAGAGGATAAAGTTTGTCTTATCATCCCCAGCTGTCTGATTTAATAACCCCCTTATTTTTTTGGCTTTTTATTTATTTCTTCCATAAATGGCTGTAAACAGTGAAAGGTGGTATAGATGTGCGATTCTGTGGGCTTGAACACTCAATTCCACTCACAACAGGTAAAACATGTGATCTAGGGTTAAATCTAGTAGACAGTGTAACCCTACCGCGTTGTATAGTCAACTTCTGCGGATACCTCAAAAACCAGGAATATTTTAGACACTAGTTTGTAATTTGGTGTTACTTGTGTCGCTTTGTTCTCGTTGTTTCCTTTCTCTTGGTTTATGTTTTTTTTTATTGTATAGTTAATGCTCGCCACAAGCTTGGAAGTGGTATTTTTCATCTCCTCCTTTATGGTATTAAGATTAATAACTTGCTTAGACTTTCTTCATATGTTAACCACAACGAACCAACTAGAGTGTGGGGGAATAGAACAAGAGGTAATGTTCGAATGTAATGGTATGTTAACGATGTATTGTGTAAACTTGAAAATGACGATTCCAACTTTTAGTACACGATACTATTTTACAAGTCGTATCAGGTATGTTAACGATGTATTGTGTAAACTTGAAAATGACGATTCCAACTTTTAGTACACGATACTATTTTACAAGTCGTATCAGGTATGTTAACGATGTATTGTGTAAACTTGAAAATGACGATTCCAACTTTTAGTACACGATACTATTTTACAAGTCGTATCAGGTATGTTAACGATGTATTGTGTAAACTTGAAAATGACGATTCCAACTTTTAGTACACGATACTATTTTACAAGTCGTATCATTTATTGGAATACAGAATGGTTTATGTTATCTTTTTTTTTCTTTCTGTGTACTAAAAACGCTTGATTACTGAGGGAAATCGTCTTTCGATTAGATTCTTCGGTGTACGTAGTGCGCATGTGCGCGTGTTCTCTACAGACCTAGTGACAAGATAATTTGACGAATCAATGTAGGCTTATATAACAACCTGTTTAAAGTAATTGTTGCCTTAGTATAGCAGTTTTATGGCACAACAGTGTACACGTAGTTATTTATATAAATTATTTGATGGAGACAATTCAACAATCAAGGAAGTGGCATGCTAGAAAGAAGGAAATGGGAAGCTCAGTAAACCCGACAGAGTTGTGTTCAGTTTATGAATGACTGGCCAGGTGGGTAAAACACCTGTGGCACATTGCAGTTAGGGCTCATCTTATGCTATAAATTCCTTGCAAAATATAAAATGAATGGATTTTGTTGCCTGAAGCTCTAAAGTAATATATGTTTCAACCAGTTCAAGTCGTTTCTTGTGAACAAGTCAAAAAATAGCTTTTGAGTTTCTTCACTTCCGAAGTATGCTAATCAATAGCTCAGAAAACTTATTGAAACCTAAAGATAGAACAAACTATGACGAGTTCGCAAAACAAGCGCCTTAATACCATGTTTTATCCTCGCAAAGATATATATAAAAAATTCTACGTATATAGTGATAATTTTCACGTCTAAAAATTTAATAATTATTCACAATTATGGCTTTTAAAACGAACGTATATATATACAAAAAGATGAATTATTTTTTAATCATTTACTACGCTGAAAAAATTGTGTATAATTGTGAATAATTATACACATAATTTTTCCAGCGTATTAAATGATCAAGAAATAATTCATTATTTTGTATATATATATACGTTCGTTTTAAAAGCTATTTCTCCTCGATTATAATCCGATTTTAGCGTTGTAAACTTGCAACTGGTGGAGGGTTTCCCCCACATTATTTCTTCTTATTTGATGATTACTATTTTACACAAGTTTGTTTGTTTTTGAATTTCACGCAAAGCTACACGAGGGCTATCTGCGCTAGCCATCCCTAATTTAGCAGTGTAAGACTAGAGGGAAGGCAGCTAGTCATCACCACCCACCGCCAACTCTTGGGCTACTCTTTTACTAACGAATAGTGGGATTGACCGTCACATTATAACGCCCCCACGGCTAAAAGGGCGAGCATGTTTGGTGTGATAGGGATTCGAACCCGCGACCCGCAGACTGCGAGTCGAGTGCCCTAACCACCTGGCCATGCCGGGCCTATTTTACAGAGGATATATTATTTTAAAAGCTCAAGCACTCGTACGTAATGTGATATAAAAGTAATCATTTTATCTATGAACGTGTGTTTGTGTGTATTAAGTAAAAACAAAAATTGTATATAAACTGAATTAAGGTATATATTTACCCTACCCTTGGTAATTAGCAGACACCGAAAGTTTGTACATCACAGTTATCCAGGGGTGAGATGTAAGGTAGATAGCTGGATAGTAAAAGACCAAAACAGTAATAACTTATGATACACATGCAAGGTAGATACATGAATAGTAAAACACCAAAACAAAAATAACTTATGATACACATGTGCATCAATACATATATAGCTAGTTGTATATAGCATTACGAAACTGCCCCATATGTGTGTTCCGTGCTGGAAACAAGCACAACAAATGTATTTTAGTAAGTGACGTGTGGTTTCTGCAGCTGATGTTACTGCGTGAGTCAATATATACATATAAGTAGGTCAATCTTGTTCCACAGAATCTTATTTCTGGAAAGTCGAATATATTACTCTAACTGAACCTTGAAACAAAGCAAATTTATTAAAGGAATGTGTTTCAGTGACGTAAAAACAAACACTCAGTATTGATTTATGTAGGCACACACTTACGCTTACATAAAAACTCAAACACTAATTGACAAAGATAACATTAACCAGTAAATGAAAACTCAAATACTAAATGACAAAGATAACATTAACCAGTAAATGACAACTCAAATACTAAATGACAAAGATAACATTAACCAGTAAATGACAACTCAAATACTAAATGACAAAGATAACATTAACCAGTAAATGACAACTCAAATACTGAATGACAAAGATAACATTAACCAGTAAATGACAACTCAAATACTGAATGACAAAGATAATAAACACAAGATAAGTTCAAAAGAGAAGGTGACGGTAATATAATAATGAGGTATAATGTATTGAATGAAGGGTAATAGAGTTCGTCTTCTTTCGTTTTCTTGATATGAAGAGAAATTGTAAAGTAATGATCAACGTACAAGGACAAAATTCTGTCTTGTTCGTGTAATACGCACTCAATTATTCTAATATGAAAATATAGTGGGGTCACCAATATATCTGTTGAGAGGATAAGGTGTGGTATTCGTATCTTAATAAACACACGTGTCCTTTGGAAATCGGGAATCACAATGGCGTCATTAAATATCTATTCGGGAGGATAAGGTGTGGTATTCGTATCTTAATAAACACACGTGTCCTTTGGAAATCGGGAATCACAGTGGCGACATTAAATATCTATTCGGGAGGATAAGGTGTGGTATTCGTATCTTAATAAACGCACGTGTCCTTTGGAAATCGGGAATCACAATGGCGTCACTAAAATATCTATTCAGAAGGATAAGGTGTGGTATTCGTATCTTAATAAACACACGTGTTCTTTGGAAATCGGGAATCACAGTGGCGTTACTAAAATATCTATTCAGGAGAATAAGGTGTGGTATTCATATCTTAGTAAACACACGTGTCCTTTGGAAACCCTGGATCACAGAAGCATCATGGGTATTCAAGAAAATAAGCTACCTGTATAGTGGCCGGTATGGTCAGGTGGTTAGGGCGCTCGACTCGTAATCTGTGGGTCGCGGGTTCGAATCCCCGTCACAACTCGCTCTTTTAGCCGTGGAGGCGTTATAATGTGACGATCAATCCCACTATTCGTTGGTAAAAGAGTAGCCCAAGAGTTGGTGATGACTAGTTGCCTTCCCTCTAGTCTTGCACTGCCAAATTAGGGACGGCTAGCGCAGATAGCCCTCGTGTAGCTTTGCGCGAAATCCGTAACAAACAAACAAAACGAGCACTATAGAGGGTATGAACCCACATGCAGCGTGAACATACATTAAAGCTTTAGTCTTATAACAACTAACCATATAAGAGTAAGCCCGCCCCCCGTGGCTTTGCGTTAAACCTGAGAGCTAATAACGCTAAAAGCCGGTGGGTACAGCATCGCTTAGCTTTGTGCTTATTAACAGAAAAATAAATAAATATTTATCAGGGTCACGTCTTTCGTAATATAATAATGAAAATGTAATTTTATAAAATTTTTGGTTGCAGGATGATTATTGCAGGTTCGAACACCCATCATCGAACATGCCCGACCTTTCAGCCGTGGGGGCATTATAAAGTGATGGTCAATCTCACTATTCTTTGATAAAATGGTAGCCCAAGATTTGGCTGTGGTTGGTGTTAAATAGCTACCTTCCCTCTAGTCTATCACTGCTAACTTAAGAAAGACTAGTGCAGATAGCCTTTAAATATCATTGTGCAAAATTCAAAAGCAATTAACAATCAGATCTTCATTTCCGAATCTATATTTTATATCCTTTGAATAATCACAATTAAAGAATTCTGTTTTCGTCGGTTTGGGTACCATACTTAGTGCTAGCAAGTTTATTTTATTTGATGATAATATTGTATTTAAACTAAAAATGATCCTTAATGATTTGTTTTTGCATTTTTTACAATATGCGTTCGATTTTTTTTAGAAATTCGGTATGATATTTCTTTTTTAATATATTATTTCCTTAGACTTCTTCCGACAACGGACAAACTAACGAACCTGAGGCACAAGCTACAGTGAGTTATTCTGTTACGGGAGAAAGTGTTTTAATTCCAAACAATGGCGCAACTCGAAATACGTTTACCTCGTCATCCTCTCGCGAGGCACGAGACAACTCGCAATCACTTCTCAGCTGTGAACACTTGACTGACATCTTATGGATTGATTGCGATAATTCCTCAGATTTGGATGCTGTAAAGGGCAAGACCAATAATGAAAGACTCGCTGAGATAGTTGGGCCACCCGAAAGAGAGAGTGTTAGGATAGAGTTCTCAGAAACAGAATTACGACCCACTTGCAACAAACCGATTAAAGAAACGGTTAACGATTCTACTCAGCGCAATGCTGACGGAGGTAAAAGTAAACTAAACAACCACACAGTTCGACCATCTTTCGTTAACAAAGACGATAATTCTTTTGGTTCACAACCTATCGGAGTCGTTCGACACCAGACACTGACTTCAGAAGAAACAGAAATGAATAGAGATGAGATAAGCCCTGAGCGTCTCTCTGATTACTGTACAATCGATAAAATAGATAAAAGCTTACAGAATGTGGCAGTAGAACTGTCCTATTCTAGGAAACCGTTGTGTGAGAAGCTAACAGACACTAATCCGACATTTGAGAAGCATGACGTCACTTATTTAAAGAATTCAACTGAAAACTCGCATAAGCTGGACATCCTTGTTCCAGATGAAGGACATTGTAAAATCCCAGATAATTGTCAAAAATCTAAATCAGAAGAGTCTTTTCGTGATGAGCTGCGTTTTCCAAAAGAGCAAGTGACTCTTGGACAGGTCAGGGTTGAAGATGGGGTTCAGAAATCAATACAAGACGGGTCTCATCAAACAAACATAGGAATACACAATACAGAAACATCAGGAGCTCTCAGAAACTGCGAGGCTACTAAAGGTAGAATTAAACGAAGAGAGTTATTACGCAGCTCTGGTGGCAACATTTTAAGACCAGCTAGGGTAAGTATTTTGTTCCTTTCATTAATTTACAACTACTACTGCATCATATGAATATCTATTTCAAAAGTGATTTTCTAGTATCATCGTGATCTTATAAGTCTTATATATGTATATGCACACACATTCTTCCTCCATACATACACAGTGTCTCACAACTAACGCGTCAAATCGTTGTTCTCTAAAAAGTGTCTAATAAATTCACCTGTCATAGCAGACACTAACCTTTATTTTTGTTTGTTTTTAAAACTGGATATTATAACGAATACACGAAACGCTCGTGTACGTGTAGTACAAGACTGTGATCGGAGTGTAGGTGCTTAATTATCCCACATTTCATCCTATACACGAGGCAGAATTGATTGTAATTACCCGCTAGTTTCAACATTTACGATCAATTTTTGATCTACTAATCCGTAAATAAAAACTACGAGCTAATGTGATGCATTTAACAAACTCTTAAATTTGGAGGCTAATTATGTGAACTCATTACTTTTTTTTAGGTTAATGAAGCCACGAAAGATAATATATATTTGTTGTGTTTGTAAAAGAAAATAGAGCTAGTACGATAAATAATTAATATAAGCAAGGATAAAAACGCAATTAATTTACCGTTTTGATGTAACTCACCACGTTCTTATTGTTTAAATGGTGACCAAATATGTTACTCGTTTCTTTCTTTTACAGTTGTTTTCCATTATATATCTATTTAAACACAATCATTAAATCCAACTGTAAATTGAAATAACAAGGTTGAGGTGAATAATATAATATTTTTTCTAACGGGGATTCACCTGCTTTTCGAGTCGGGTTTTCTGACGACCAGCAAGTATAATATAACAACAACTCAAGTTTCAGAGGCTTTTTTCTGGTCACAAAATAATCCTTTATTCTATTGTGATACAGGAGAGTGGGGTAAGTAAAAAATCATTTATTGACTGGTAAGTGAAAATACACTGACTTTGTTTTTCATTAAAAACATGTGGAAACCTGAATATTAATCAGCGTATATGTATTCTAATGACGCAACTGATTCATGTAAACGTGGTTTTTCAAATTAACTTTTTGGTTTTAGTTAATTTTAGTTATTGAATTGTCCTTTATAAATATACGTCTTTGCGAAAGCAGACGTCAGTCACGAAAACCTTTAAAACAATGCAAGAAAGATCCTCGTTCACGAAATAGTAACAGCCTTCTTGTAAGCTATGTTTACCTGCATGCAAGTGTCGTGACTGTACCCTATCATTACATCATATTTGAAACTGTGATATACCGTTGTATCACTTACATTAAATCAAACCTGTAATTTAGAAGTAAATATCGGTAATGTGTGATACACCCAATTAAGACTATTATTTTGTTCAAGTGCATATAGTAAGTATAGCTTCTGGACCAGAATGGTCTGTGTTTAGTTATGTAAACAATTTACATAATACTGATGAAACCGCTTTGATGAATATACTTGTCTTTTCTTCTGCACACTAAATGTACGTCCGTATGTATGTATGTATGTGTGTATGCATGTGTATGTATGTTTGTGTGTGTATGCATGTGTATGTATGTATGTGTGTATGCATGTGTATGTATGTATGTGTGTGTATGCATGTGTATGTATGTATGTGTGTATGCATGTGTATGTATGTATGTGTGTGTGAGTCTATGTATGCAGGTCGAGAAACGACTCTTTCAGAAAATCACTTTAGGCATCGGTTCCCTTGCTGAGACAAACTACACACTCTTAATATACGTGTGGTCTCAGAATTCTCGAAACATAAACGTAACGAAGATTAGCCGAGTCCGCAAATTAAGGCATAATATTTACTTGTAATATCTATTTCTTCTGCATGTGCAAACAATGCCACTACTGTGGCTTAATATGGAAAGATAGATTGAATAACATTGCACAAAAGTGTACTTTTTAATCCTGATATCCTAATAACAGTTTTATTTGTGGTAAATTACACTTTTTTTAATTCTTATGTTTTTTGTTCTTTCTCCCTAATAAAGCTATGCTCTAAACTGTGAACTCAAACATGGTATGTTTCTTGACTGACCCAAAATATTTCCTTTATTTGTTTTCCTAAACGAACAATATAATAAACATTATATTATTATTCTTTTTTCAAACTGCCTTTTATCTTTAGCATTATAAAACTATTTATAAGATTTATACACCTAAAAAAGAACTAAATTCACAGGCTGGTCTCTGGCGGGGGAGGGTCCTTATGATCACGATAAAGTAAGGGTTGATGACCCAATTTAGCAAAACGAAGCAGATACTGTTATCACGGTGTTTAGTCAGTTTTGAAATGGGTATTATACGATAAAGAGACAAGTCATAAATTCTATTTTACAGAGTATAATTATAAACGAATTAATTGTTCCCGTTTCGCTTTTCGGGCGTTTTTGGTAAACACTACCAGCTGGTTATCTGTGTGGAAACGAGTGAACAATTCGTGTTTACTTTGCGTGTATGTAATTCTGGAAATTTAAATAGTTTTTATGTTTATCTCTTCGCGTACTGTACTAAATATAAACCAAGGCCTAACGACAAAATAGGAATGTTTTTTGACTAGTTATTTATTTCCTCGTAAAACCAAACCAGTGTATTTTTTAAAGTTTCCTAGTGTTAACATAAAACGTCCCACTAAATAAGGGACCGTGATATTTCGTTATGTGTATTTTCTTGCCTGGTTATTATTATTATTATATATTATTGCAAATCTGAGTCTTCTCCTCTTTCTAATAGTAGAAGTTCGTTAAATTTTTTATCCCCAATTTTAGAATATTCAGTAAAGCATTTCAAATATGAAAATGACGATAATACGTATATATTCTTATAAGACCAGCGCTAAAATGGCCCTTTTTGCTTTCAACCAATCACAAGAACCAAGTTTTACCGAACATTAATCATGCCTGTTAATTAAGGAATCTTAGAAATAATGATTGTGTGTGACAGAAAAGCAAAACAAAAAACTATAAAGTGTTTTATTTAAAATAAAATAACAAATTACTATGATTATTGTTTAAAGTATGATAGTTTCTAAAATATCTTGCATCCTCCTTTTCCTATTATTAGCTAAAACATTGAATTTTTTTTCTCAAAAGGCTTTTATTTAAATCTTTGTAGTTTTATGTTTTCCATCCATGAAAATTATACTTCAGACAGCTTATTACAACAGTAAACACTTACTGTTATCCACTTATCATTTATATAGCTGCATAACAATCGTTATGTTAACTCTTGTCAACGATGCACGGGAATGGTGTGTTGTTGTTTTTGCAAAACTTAGTGCTACAGTTGATGTTAAGAATAATAACACATTTTCAAAAATTGAAGTGAAAGTTCATTGACCTGTACATTTAGGCATGATATATGTCTTAAAGTTCTTGATTGGCTGTTACAAATATGGTGTTGGTAAGCCTCCTTCTTAAAGCCTCTTAGAAAAACTCCTTATTAGTCAGTGAATATTCGTACATTACTTTAATTCCATTTTACCAAGATATCTCTTCACTATTTACAGATACCAAGGATTCAGTAAATCTGTCATATATTCGATTTGACAAATACGTGTTGAGATTAACAATTACAAAACAGGTAACTCAGAAGTGTTCTCAAGAAGTAAGTAAAACATACAAACAACCTTGGAGTTTTGATAAATCAACAGTTTGCTTCCTATTTAGGTTTACAGTAACAACTTTTATTCTATGTTTAATTCAACTTATTACATATCTTGTATGCAAAAAGGTACAGTTGATTAGTTTCGTAAAAGTTTCCGTTTCATTTCGAAAACAATTGTTTCCTTATTTTTCTGTATATGAAGAGTTATCCAGTTGCCTAACACAGCAAACTTTTGTTTGTTTGTTGTTAAGCCCAAAACTATACAATGGGCTATCTATTCTGCGCCCTCGTACAGATATTGAAACCCGGTTTTAGCGTTATAAGGCTACAGGCTTACCGCTGAGCCACTGGGGGACTTAACTAAATCTTACAATTTTGTAACTTCCCACACATCACAATACCAGTAAGTAAAACCTTAGAAGAGAGGTTTACCAGAGTCTATTCTTTGGGGGCGAGAATCCCCTTTTATTTCACTTTTCCGATTGCAAATACCCAGACATATATTCAACTGCAGGCAGGATAATTGTATTTCAATTTGTGCAAAGGACTAACAAGAAACTTGCGTTACCTCGGCTCCTGCTCTGTTGTAGGTTACTTTTGCAAAAAAAAAAACCTTTAGTTGCCCCAAACTACAAAACTCCACATGGTGGACAATACCTACAATATACTCCAAAAATTTCAGCTTTGTTAAACTGTTCTCGGATCATGAACACTGTATTCTTCTGGAAGTAGAAGAAGCTCTTAAAGTAGTTAAGGAATATAGTATATATGTTACTCCCAACTTTACCTCAATAAACATGATACAAATATTTGAACTATAGCAAATGTATAAAAGAAACAAGGCACCTGAAAGACATAACCGTTACGCGTGTTATCCTTTGGCTATCTGTCTTCTACACCTAAAACACACATCAAAAAAGATATCCGATACACACTCTATTTCAGACACCAGGAAGTCCCATATCATATTGTTATCATTTTTTATTAATATCGGAGTAAAGCTTATCTCTTATGAAATCTTGACAGAAACAGCTACTGTACGTGGTTTAATTTGATTCTTTCTATGTTGACGACCCCTGACATATTTACAAACGATAGGATATTAAAGCTTTATTTTAAGCGTTCAAGGCTAAAGCGATTCAAAGATAAAGTCTAGAAGGGTCAAGTAGCGTACCCAGACTAAGAACCTGAGATTTCAGGGTTTGCGACCCGATGCCTCAAATATTTACTTCCCAATTTCGGGCCGTGAGTTCTCAATTGGAGTAACGGTCAAATCACACTAAAGAATCTGATAAGTGTAGCCAAGAACTGGTGGCGGATGTTGTTAACTAGCTGCCTTATCTTCTAGTCTACCAGTTCGAAATCAAGAATGAGTATACGC